CACAGCTTTCCTCTAGCTGCCCATTCAATACTTACGTTCTGGAGATCAGTAAGTGTGCTCTCCAGTACTTCGTCTACGACTAAATTGAACAGGAATGGTGAAATAGGGCACCCTTGACGGACACCGCTTCTGGTTTCAAACGATTTACTTAGCCCACCGTAGACCCTTACGCTGCCAGAAGTATGCAGATACAACGACTGCAATAGGTTTACATACTTCCGCGGGATTCCTTTGCGGAGCAGCGACCCTAGAAGAGCTTCACGATCAAATGAATCGAAGATTCCTTTTAGGTCAAGGAACACTGCGATTGTTGGCCGACGATGTGTGCGACGCAGTTCGAGGACTTGACGCAGAGTGAAGATTTGGTCGATGCCCCCCTCGACCTGGCCGGAATCCGGCTTGTTGTTCGCGGATATTCCTCTCCCTTAAGGGTGTAAAGCGGCGAAGTATCACAAAAGTCAACACTTTTGTGATTATCGGGACTAAAATAATCCCACGGTGGTTAGCGCAGTCGTTGCGTGATCCCTTCTTAAAGATAGGGACGATCAATGATTCACCCCGGGACAAAGGGATACGCTCCTCCGTCCAAATACTGCGAAGTAAGCTAGTAATGGAGTCGACAAGAGATTCACCGCTCCCCTTAAAAAGAATAGGGAGAAGGCCATCAGGTCCCGTAGCCTTTCCTTTCTTTAATGACTGAATGAGCTTAGTACTTCCGACTCTGATGAGAGCTCAGTTTTACGACGTGATTTGCTTTGATATTTTATTCGATGAACAATACGAGAGTTGGGCATCAAAGTATCCGGATGCACAAAACGTTTTATTTGTTAAACCAGTACACACAGTTCCATGTTCTCAAAACATTTGGCGACAACAGTTCAACCATGCTGAAGCGGGTAATCCCACTGTGGCGATATCTGGCTTGTATCGGATTCCACGCGTCATGCGCTTGATATTTGGGAACACATTGCTCCAGGGAAGTGAAGTCATCACCAAAGGCAGCTCGCAAACGATCAACACTTTGCTGCCGCTGCTACTACTCCATTAAACCACATCTGTAGTCGGACAAAATCATCGCCCTTCAGTGAGATCGACTGAATTCTATCCTCAGGACAGCCCGAGTATAGCGGCAATCCTCGTATAACTTGTGAGCTTGGCTGTGTTGATATTTTCTGTGTGTGAATAATAATAATAATAATAATAATAATAATTGAATAATAATCATAATAGATTACAGGTCTAGTTTTTCTTGTCCAGCTAGCTGCATCTCGTACTGGTGTATTGTGTATCTGGAGGCTTTTGCCCTCGTATGGGAGAAAGTAAATTATTCTTGACATTTAATATCAAATAGAACCTCATGTGGCTTCGCATTCCAAGTCCAACCGCTCAGATTGTTGGGTCTCCTACCGTTACCGTAGATTTGTGCCTATGGGGCTCGCTTTCCGTCTGTTACCAATACATGACAAGGGCTAACAGAAACCTATGCATCACGGTCTCTATATGCTCGCAAATGGATAGATTCTCTCAAGAAATATCCTACGGAAGTTTTTAAAGGTAATGCAGTTGTCGAATAACTGAGTACAATTATATTACATTCCATATGGTTGTGTTTGAGAGCGTGAGAATAAGATATTTGCGCAACGATATTTTATTCCTTCGTCTAAAGTAGGCACACAGAGCAAAATGAATAAATTGGCAATATAAAAGCCAACCCGACAAGGGATGATTGAGCCAGTTCGTAAAGATAAAGATAAGTACGCGGCCATTGCCAGTCCGGGTTAGTCATCCATCAAACCGGCCAGTTCGCTCAAACCTTCCCGATAGCGTGGATCATTACGACGACGCCCGTACAGCCTCACATCATCGATAGGCACTCTCCGATTGTAAATCGGACGCTGAGGATATCTTTGCGGTTGGGTTTGTCTGTACCGATAGCCAGAGTACGATTGAGGTCCACGATAAATGACTTTTCGACTTCTGGAAGCTGGAACCCAAAACACAGGGCATGGGCTCATAAGGATCATAGGGTGAGCCAGTTCACATCTCATATGGTTTGGAGTGAAGTATATTTCTAACGGGGGTGGGTTAGATGAACCACAAAACAGGGGAGTTTATGTTTGTTTTGTCAGTTCAAGCCTGACAAAGCGCCAATTGAGCACCAGATCCGATATTATTCAAATAGAACGTTACTTCGGTGGAAGTTGTGAGGCGTTGTTATTCTGTTGAAAAGTTGTTTGAATGTTGAATACAACAGTTTTCGGTTGTAAACTTAATACCAAGGCAACTTCCGTCACATCTCCACTGACCCGGGAAAACAATGATATCACATCGACAGGACCAGATGTGTGATCACCAATATTAACACCTGCAATACATCATGAGTAGTTGGTTCAATAGTATGTAAGCCACAAATTTAGTAGTTATTCTATTTCCAGTACCCAAATGTCGTCCGCCCGTAGGCCAGTGAGCAAGCAGTGCGTCACCATGCAAGCCGGAAAGCAGGTAGGCCAAACGATAGCTCAAGTGACACATGACATCCAGAGTCGATTATGCAGTTATCTTTAAACAGTCAACGAATCAATCAGTGAGGACAGTTCAACACTAACACCTGATGGGCTGGGTTCCATCGATATTGTAATAGAGTCAGCCTGCATGTCCTGAGCGCGTACCAGTGTGGTAGTGAGCCACATCAATCAATCAATCAATCAATCAATCAATCAATCAATCAATCAATCAATCAATCAATCAATTAAACAAGCAAACAACCAATTAATCAATTCGGCCGCAGACGTACACGACAAACGTATCAGTCAATTATAGCTCACAACAGGTATGTGTATACACTCGATGCACTGCGTTGTTATACCATTGGAAATCTGATAAAAAAGATATCTGAACATGAAGCATGCAACACAGAATGAATGGTCCCTGTTGTGCTATAGAAACATTTAAATTGTCATAACCATCAAATCTGTGTAATCGTGTGAGGGTAATAGATTTCTGAAATTATAATCCTTGCCAAAGATCACGCGTTGTTGTCAATCCGACCCCTATAATCACATTGAGGTAGATATAAGAAAGAGTAGAGAAGAACTTAGCGGGGACATCTGTCAGCAAGGCATCGACTGCTGATCGATTGCTGAATGGACATCCCTATTCGATTAAGAGGATGACCATCTGGACCTTCGAGCATAATTCGGAAACTGTCAAAGTAAAACGAGTGGAATATGCCAATTTGTTACAGCGATCGGGCAGTGCAACCATGAGTCCTTATATTGACGAGACCAACTAAGAACACTTCAAAGTGGACCGACGGTCAAACCGTTAAAAGCCTCCCATCCAGCAAACGATCCCACTTGAACATAATAGAATATTTATCGGTTACCGGTATCTTGAAATATCGTTTACAATGTACTCACTCATCAAAGAGCTCTAGATGAGCAGTTACAGGCCAACCACCAAATTCGATTTCTTCCACCTTACGTACAGTCCGTTTGTTAACCAGTGATGGTTTTCAGTAAATTCAAACAGGTAAACATTTTCAATTCTTTAATTCATTTATTATTTATTTATCACATTAAGAACTGGTTCACTGAAAATAATGAAATCATACGAGATGCACCCAATGGTTGGACGATATGGGCACATCGTTTCAATCTTCACCAATCGCAATATGTGGTGCGGTATTTGATGCCATTGCGACGGTCAACTGCACAGCCTACGATCGCCACAGTTTATTTCTCAACCAGGTTCTGCAAAATCAACATTTGTAGAAAGCAAAGTGTTTCAAAATTCGTTGACCTCAGAGTGCATTCCGATGCGTCGAGGCTAAAAGACTACGGTTCGTGGATAAAGCATTGCCGGTTTGGCTAAAGGCATGTGGGTCAAGGCTAAAGGCTAGATGACTGTTGGTTTTTTGCTAACGTACATTGTAGTTGTACGTCTATCTAAACATCACGAATGGTATCATCACGTTAATTTGGGATTCGAGTATTCCATTGATCAACATTTTGACAACCGAGTTACCACAAACATCAAGGACCCGGATATGGTATACCAATGGTGTTTTACGATCCCTAGAAGCCGAGTTTCCAGTTAGTCATGCCACCAAAGGCACTTGAGGCTTGTAACGCATTCAGTATCATATTCAGAACACAATTTCGGGCGACAGTTTGGCAACTGTAATTTCAGTATTGATCTTTATTTATTTTTCATGTTTCCTTATTCCTCTTGAATATGCAAAGATACAATCTTCACGAAGAGGGAAGCGGCTGCCATACAACGCAAATAATGGACAAAGTCAGGCGGTGGTGGTGGGATTCAAGCAAACGTCTCCATTGTTCATCATTTGGTGACGTCAGCAACGGGCCACCACCCCTTCAGTGTAAGAGACTAGAAACAGAATTGTGGTCAAATCGAATGCACGCTGAATGGTAGCCACAGAGGTTACCCATACGCTTTCCGCACTTTTTTGAAGTGTTTCGGTGATCTTAGCCTACGGAATGACACAAACCACGGGGAGACAAATTATAGTTTGCGGGCAACTGGGATGAATCAAGCTTCTCAGATGCTTCCCGTCAAAGTATAGACAACTCACTTTTCATGTAGGATTTACTAAATGCACGCCTGTTTTACTGTTCCCGTGATAATAAGATAATCTGATTTATGTAAGTGTCTTCAAGACTGCCTGTGATTTATGTGTCAGTTGAAATCTGTGCCCAGAATTGCATGGGTTCGATTCCTGAAAAATCGATATTCGTCACAAGCAATTTGTCCCGGTTTGAACTCCCGGACGGACTGATGGAAATGTGCCCAATACCAATGAGATCTTAACTCGATCCTGTTGTGGTTCCCTGGTTTACTGGACAGACAAAGAATTGTGTGGTAAAATGAAACCTGAAGAATTGTCATGCACAATAGAGATCCGATGTAGGGTGTTGTGTGTAGAGGCTTGCACGGAGTGGGTCATCTAGTGAACACGTTTGCATTTCATGTTCTCAGCTCTGTGTCACCACAGATTACAGTTATCTGACAGTGGCCGTACGAATCCATTCCCGTTGGTCAACGCTCTTTTCTCGATGTTGGTGTGTTTCCATCCATGTTTAAACCTCAGGAGAGATGATTTTACATCAAGTGCTTTTATAGATATGATTCAGAGTGCAAATGTCTGATTTATCTCGCTTAAGCTACAAATAACATACTCATTATAAAGTTACCGGAGGGTTTCACTGGGACCTAATCAATGATAGATATTTAATGCTTTCTGTGGCAAATTCAATAACTGGTGTAAACGAAAAAAAAACTGAACTCCAACACTTCAGATTGACCACCGAACCAAACAGGTTGACTTGGTCAGTGCAGATGACGATCTTTCATAAAGATTCACCGTTCCATAGAACGCATGTGAAGTTTTTTGCAGAGGTATCCTAGTATGTAGGAGTCACTGAAGTGACTAGCGTTGGTGAAATGGCTTGATTCGATATATCCTCAGATCGTGAAATGCATAAACAATGAGTGACCGAAGAATTCGTTCCGGATGAGTAGTACTCAATCCTTTTAGGAGGACGAGAAAGACAGCTGAATCTCTTTCCGCCAATCACATGTCTCCGGTAAAATTTAGAGAAGCGGTCAATCCGGAAACAAGCATAACATTTGGAGGAACTTCATGTCCTTGAAATGCGTTAATCACGTGATCCAATGGCTACCGGTTACGACGAACAGAATGTATACCGGTATCATTATTTGGGCCCAAATGTGATGTCTTCGAGACGTATTCTTGTACAGCTTATCCAATTGGATGGAAGCACGCACCAAAGAATTTGGTGTCTCACGGGTCCAAGCGTTCGTGCAGTTCAATCGCACGACATATACTGTATTGCAAAGAATGCGACAAACATAGGAACGCCCTTTGTGTCTGGATCCGCCAGTAGGGTAGCAGTCTGAAGCAGCTGCTATTCGACAGTACAAGCCCGATTTATGTAAACAGACCGAATTGGTCGCTAGCCTCGTGCTGCTCTGGTAGGTGTCACTCCCTCTCCCCTCCCCGCATCATGCAATGATTACACTCCCTGCTCCAATGCCCAATCTGATTCGAATTAGTGACCTTTGACCTTCGTATTGATTGATTTCTCTTCCCCGACTGTGTTCACCTGTCCCCTAACGTGTCACACTTTTAACCAAACGTGATCTGAATATATATATATATATATATATATATATATGTCTGTACACAACCGATGAGATTACTACGAAATAGTTGAATTCAACGCATCTTGGGATCATTATGTCTTTTTTCGCCCGTGTAAAAGAATTTCCCCTTGGATTTTTTTAAATCAACAAAGGTATATATGAAGTATTTCGCGCATAACCAAAATAAAACTGATCAATTACTATCTACCCGCCGTTTTCAATTAGAT